GGCGGCCAGGGGGCGGGCGGGGCAGGGGCGCCATGTGGTTCATGTACGTGCTGAGCTGGCTGTCGCTCTTCATCCAGGTGGCCTTCATCACGCTGGCCGTCGGTGAGCGTTCGCGACCCGGGCCCTCGCGGGATCCCGCCCCGGCCGGCATCTGTGTTTCCCGGGGGTCGCGCCGCGGGCGATCGGGAGCGAGTCGGGACCCCCGGCCGGCGCTCGGGTCTCTGCCCACCCCACCCGGTGCTGCCCCCGCTGCAGAGCCCGCAGCCTGGCCGGAGCGCGGCTCCTGCCGCCTGTCACAAAGTCCTCCTGGCAGAGCCCGGGGGAGGCTGACTTCAGTGTCCGCCGGTGCCCGCGAACCGCCAACCGCTCCCACTCTCGGGGGCCCCCGCGCCTCGCTTTTCCCTGACACCTCCGGCTGCCCCGTCCCCCTGATGCTTCGTACTCGGGCTCGCTGCCTTTGACACCCTTCCCCGATTCAACCGCGGCTGAGCTCCCACCTCGGGGAAGCCCTTAGGAGTTGGGTGGCCGAGCAGTTTCTTCTGCTGGATGCGGGGTAGCATTTGTCTCCTCTGGGATTGCCCGACTCCCCTTCCTGCTGGTTCCCACCACCCATCCTGGGGGAGGGGGTGCAGGGCCCTTGTCTGTCTTGTTCTGCTGCACTGTCAAGCCACTTGGCCCATACTAAGTGCCCTACAGGTATTGATTGAATAAGTGAATGAGATCGCGCTTTCTAGACCAGAGGTTAGCTTTGTGTGGAGAAGTGAAAAGCTTGACTTCCATTCATTTCTATAGTTGTTGGGTTTTTTTCCTCTGTAGGTGCCCTGACCAAGTTCTGCCTTTCCAGATTTGGAAAGGCAATGCAGAGATTGTTTGGTTTCTTGTTTACTTTCTGGAGTCTGTGAACAGTTGATGGGGATCCAGCTCCCTAGGAGGGAAGGGCAGGATGAAAGTGACCCTGACTGATGTTCCTTCCCACCCTCCCATTCCTCCCCTCCCCCAACAGCTGCTGGACTCTACTACCTGGCAGAACTGATAGAAGAATACACAGTGATCACCAGCAGAATCATAAAGTACATGATCTGGGTAAGTGGCAGCTTTCCGCAGGATCATCCTCACTCTTTTGTACTGCCTCAAGCAGGAATTGGATGCAGTTTGGCCTGGTTGATGAGAACCTTTTCTGGGCTGTTTCCTCCTGCTATGGGACCAGGGCTTCCCTGTCCTGAGCCCTGGCCCAGATCTTCCCTTACCCAAGCGGCACTGCTTCACTGCAGACCTTATGCTGTTATTTAAGATGCAGCTAAGTGTACATTCTCTGTTAACAGGACCATGGCTTTGCCTTTGCTTGGTTATCTCCCACATTCTATGCTCCTAGCCCTTAGAGGAACCATGAGCACAGTTCTGAATGTTTGTTCATCACCCTCTTTCTAATAGGGTTTAGTGACTCTTCCTAAAGGGAATACCTCCTTGTCTCTGGCCCTGCTCTCCTTCAGCCTCATGAGCAGCTTCTCTTCCTGCATACAGCACTTGCAGTTGTTGTCAAGGCCATGGGATTGATTGCTGGAAATCTGTCTAGATTTCCACCAGCTTCAGGGAGGGGTGAGGGTTGGGGTGAGAGTGAATATGGACAGAAGGAGTCCATTACCCCTCAATGCACATAATATCTGCAGCTACTTTAACTCTGGCCTGCATTTGGATATTAATAGTGAGACAAGATAGTAGCTCCAAGTCTGGGGTTTGGTTGGAGAAGGAATTTGATCTTCCTTCCATGTTAAATGCTGATGACCATAGGTCCTTCAGAAGTATTTTCCAAACTGTAGGCACGATTTATTATTGATATATAATTGATTCAGTAAGTCATATTCAGCTTTTTTTTTTTTTAGTGGAATAGGGTGTAGGGTGCAGCTCTGCAGTGGAGCTTCTGCTTAGCTTAGCATTAGCATGCATATGGCTTTGATGCATATGGTTTGATCCTCAGTACCCAAAACAAAAAAAAAATTTTAAAGACTAGAATTGAATTTGAATTCTGATCACATATGTATATGAGTGTTGTATGTTGGGACCATTATGCAAAATATTTTCCAAAACTATGGGTTGCAGTCAAAAATCCTTGACAAAATGACGTTCAGAGATGATGCCCTTACTTGCCTACCCAGTACAAGGTCCTGTGTTCAAACCCTAGTACTGGGGGGGGGGGAAGATATTTCCCTTGGGTTATTGAAAGTCTAGCTGAAATGAGAAGACAGAAGTATGAACTTAGAGCTGCCGAGAGAGGGAAGGGGTAGGGAGTCTAGGCAGGTTCCCAGAAGTTCACTGCACCTTGTGCCTCTGGTTGTTTCAGTTCTCCACAGCTGTGCTGATTGGCCTGTATGTCTTTGAGCGCTTCCCCACCAGCATGATTGGCGTGGGCCTCTTCACCAACCTCGTCTACTTTGGCCTTCTCCAGACGTTCCCCTTCATCATGCTAACCTCACCAAACTTCATCCTGTCCTGCGGTGAGAGGGGCAGGGTTGGGGAGGAGGGTTGGGGAGGCAGCTGACATGGATGTGTCAGCTTATCCTGGGCACTGAAGGGGATACAGAGGCGGCAGCAAAGCCAGGAGATTCTCCAGCCTGCCAGGCTGGTGGGAATGATGGACTTTCTGACTCTTTAGGATCCTAGCACCTGCCTAGAACTTGTTGGGATGAGAGACTCAGGCTGGAAAGCCAGTTTTAAGGAGGGCTTGGGAAGGGAAAAGAGGTTGTGGGTTGATGAAGCAGGGTCTCTGGCTGATTAGTTCTAGTCTGTAGGAAACCACTTGACTCAGGATATCTGAAGTCCTTTGGCTTCTCATCCAGTCTTTTGGTTCAAAGTCATAGTCAAAAGTAGACCCTTAAGGGGACTGTGAGGCCCCTGCAGACACTGACTGGCACAAACACCTTCTGGCTGGCTTTTTCTAGTGAGTTCTCAGCACTTGCTGCTCCCTCAGGGATCAATCCAAGCCTTCTTTGGCCCATTTTCTGACACCATTTCCCCTTTCTAGGCCTTAGCTACTCCAGAAATATCAGAGAAGTTGTTTCTGACAGGATTATAGATATTTGCAGATATTCATAGTGAAGGTTTCAGAAAGCTTTTAGTCATAACATTGCCTTTTCTCTTGGTTAATAGCCAACCTATCGGTGCAGGATACAGATGGAGTAAGGGTGGTTTAGAGATACTTTTCTATATCTGGAGATGGGAGAAACCTTAAAAAAGAGATTATGGGTAGGAGGCTATAGTTGAAAGTTTGGCTGGCCTCTTTCCCTGAGGGCCTGGTGTGATTTCATCTTGCGTAGGATTTGCATTTGTGTAGGATTTCCTCCCATGGAAACTAGACTCCTGTGTCCTTCCAGGAAGGACCCCCCTGTACGCTCCCCCAAGCTCCTCTCTCTAGCTCTCTTGTCACTCAACCCCTTAGCTGCCTAAGGAAGTTTTTCAGAAAGATCTTGTGGGCCTCATTCACCAACATGGCTTCAGTATCCTTTACCCTTAGTATGTGGCTAGGTATAGCAGGGCTGTAGTCTTCATTTAAAGGGTTGAGTCAAGTAGGAGAAAGAGCCATGGAGTTGCTGTGAGGGGTCAGATGCAGTGAATGCATTCTTCCCAGTGCCTGCTCTCATCCGACTTTGAGAATGAGCAGAGCTGACTCCCTCTGAGCTGCCTGTTCCCAAAATCTGCGCACTTGTTCCTTTTTGTAAATGTAGACACTGAGGCGGAGCATGTGGGACCGGAACATTCCAGTTCAGAGCCTCGCTCTGGGTACAATGTGGAAGGTCCTCCACAGTACTTTGAGGAGCCCTAGGACTGGACTTTCTATTCCCAGGGTCTGAGAGTCCCTTTATTTGAGGAGGCCTTCTTCCTGCTGCCCAGTTTTGAGTAAAGTCCTATAGAGGCTGTGGGGGACGGTGGAGGGAGTAGAGTCTAGTCAGCTTACCTGTGACTTTCCTCCATCTACTGCCCATGAGTGAACTTTACATCCAATGAAAAGTAGGCTCATTATCACAACACTTTGAATTATGAAGCAAGGAAATTTCATTTTATAACATGCCAAAGCTTTCTTACCTCCCATCTAATTTTACTCATAATGCCCTCTGCAGTAGGCAGGTTAAGGCTGATTCTTTCATCTTGACAGCTGGGGAACTAAGTTGTAGATAGTTCTGTACTTGACCAGAACCATACTCTGATTTGGTTCCCAGCTCCCCAGAGCCTTTTGAAATTTAAATGGCCAACTTTGCATTGAATCCTCCAAACTGACTGCCTCTATTCTCTCCACAGGCCTAGTGGTGGTGAATCATTACCTAGCATTTCAGTTTTTTGCAGAAGAATATTATCCTTTCTCAGAGGTAAGGTGTGGGGTTTACCTTGAGAACTTAGCTATGATCTGAAACTCAAGCCATTTGAGGATGATATATAGTATATTTATATATGTGTGTATATATATGTATGTGTGTATATTATATATATATATATGTATATGTATATAATGTATGTGCATGCCAGTCCTAGGGCTTCAACTCAGGGGTCTGGGCACTATCCTTGAGCTTTTTTAACAGTTAATTGGAGATAAGAGTCTCATGGACTTTCCTGTCTGGGCTGGCTGACTTAAAACCATGATCCTCAGATCTCATCCTCCTGAGAAACTAGGATTATAATCATGAGCCCCTGGTGCCCAGATAAGAATCATATTTTTAAAAACATGGAACATAATACAAATGATTTCTGAAAGCAGTGTGGCTGGTATGGGGAAGACATTGCTTCCATTATCCCAGTAAGTCCTTTGAGTCCCCCCAAAGGGTTACAGGGCTGGTCTCACAGGGCAGGGTGGGCTGTGGTCCTGAGCCTCAGCACCCCTCAGTGGACTGCCAAGGTTTTTTTTGTTTTCTACACCTTACTATTCCAGTTTGAAGCCTCAGGGAAGAACAGTTTCCCTTCTTTTGGGAATGTGGTCACATGCAGTCATCATTATTGTCCATCTTTTTCCATTGAATTATCTGCATCTGAAAACGTCCTGTTTCCTATGTTCCAGTCCCTGTAGAGATCGGGGCAGACACATGAGCACATCCACCATCTCTAAACCCATAGTGACCATCCCCAGCCCACCCCTGGCACCTTCAGGACACTCTTCTCTTGTTGCCAGGTCCTGGCCTATTTCACTTTCTGCCTGTGGATAATCCCATTTGCATTCTTTGTGTCACTTTCGGCTGGAGAGAATGTCCTGCCCTCCACCATGCAGCCAGGCGGTAAGAAGGGGTTCCACATTGGGGAATAACAACAAGGCCCAAGTCAGCTGGGGGAAGCAGAGCCTAGCCCTATGATGAAACACTGGGACTCAAGAATGGGTGAACAGTGTTCATGTGTATACACACACACACACACACACACTCACTCATCTTCCTGCCTATGTCTCCACAGATGACGTGGTCTCCAATTACTTCACCAAAGGCAAGCGGGGCAAACGTTTAGGGATCCTCGTTGTCTTCTCCTTCATCAAAGAGGCTATTCTACCCAGTCGTCAGAAGATATACTGACCCCCTTGGGGAGGGTATGTGGGGACAAGATCAGGAGAGTTGGGCCCCTGGGCCTCTGTGCCAGTAGTGGCCAGGAGTCTGGAGGGCACTACTGCAAGCCAGGGCTTCCCTCCCCTTAGTTCTGAAGCCCCATCCCCACCCTCCTTGGGGCTCAGCTTGGCTCGGATCCGATGCTGCCAAGGGCTGCCAAAGGGCACCTGGAGGGTGGCAGAGCCTACTTAGCCAGGAGGCCATGTCCCTGGCCCTTCTCTCCCCCTCCAGTAGGGGCAGCAGGGCAGGGTCTATGAAGCTGGAGAAGGCTGATGATAACTTCTCTGGACAGATGGCCATAGGGACAGCCATGGCTTGGCATTTCCAAGAGAAATGGTTTTTTGCTGTTGAACTGTGATTTTTGTCTAATTGCTGGTTCCCATTTGAATAAAGATTCTAGGTGGCATTGTTTGCCTTAATACCCCAAAAGTTCATCTTCTTTTCTTCCCCCTAACCTTCTGCCTGGACTGGACCAGCTTTATACTGCAGGGTCTCCTCTTCTGGGCCTGGGCTCCCCCTTCCAAAGAAGCCCTTCTTGTAGCCCTTAGTGAGAAGGGAGCAGAGCTAAGCAGCAGAGCCTGGGTGAGGAGTGGGGTGGAGGTAAAGGCAGGCTTTCTCGTGCACCTCCCTCTTCTTTCAGCTCTTCTTTCCCCAAGGCTCTGCGATTATCACGCTGGGAATAGGAAAGAAGTCAGTTTAGGACTGGGTCTTTAGATGTACATGTACAGTATTCTATTTATGTCTTTATTTGAGGAAAGGGAGTGGTTTCTGGCAAAATTCTCTCTCAGGCTTAAAGAAAAATTAAAATTGGCTTTCAGGCAGCCTGGGCTATAGCCTGGCTTTTAAGACATGGAATTGTTGGGCTAGGCTGTTTGTCACTCTGAGCACACAAAGTCTCTGTTGTGTGTGCTCCTGGCTCCTGATATGAGGGCCTGTGCCACCTAAAAAGGCAGGCTACAGCATTTGTTGACCTTGCACTTACAACTACAGTGCCTTGTAAGTACTTAACAAACACACTAGAATGAAGTCTCCATGACAGCCGTCATCTGCCGTGTCCTATACCTCACAGTAAGGCTGGTAGGAACAGAGATGGACTGCACACACATGGCACCTTGAAGCCACTGGAAAGATGCGTGTGCTTGAAGATCTGTGTCATGCCTGAAGTCCCTCCATGGCCCTTCAACTTTTCCAATTCTGTTCCCTTAACGGTTCCAGCCTTCCCCTTTCCCTGGGAGGACTGGCACATTTTGGTCTTGCAATGGGAGTGAGATTGCCAAGCCCTTTTCTGCTATGCAGGAAGGAGTAGACAAGGTAGAGGGGCACAAAACGATGGCTGACAGTGGGCTGACAGTTCTCCTTTGCTGTCCTTTTCTTTGTTCCTCTATCTGGTGGTGTGGTTTCACCCCTTACCTTCACTCTACCGCCAGTCAGTGCTCCCCCATGACTGTCTAGAGACTTTCATGGGCTAAATCCAGTGGAGTCCTCCTACCCTAACCCTACCTGATCCCAACATCGGGTGACATGTCTTATTACTGCCTGCTTCTTGACTCGTACTTTCCTGGTACTTCTGTGGCTGGCTGGCCCTCTACCTCTGGCTGTCCTTACAGTCTCTTGTGCAGGCTTCTCTCCTTGCCCCAGACATACTGGGGCCTCTCAGGGTTCTGTTTTGGGTCCCTGGGGAAGACATCAATGTTGATGGCTTCAGGGACTCTGGAGGAACACAGCATTGACCTCCAACCCCAGCGTCCTTCCTGTCTTTTGAATCATAGTTCTGTCTCCTGAGTACACAGATAGCTCTCATCCATGGCCCAGACAGCATCTGCTGCTGTCCTCTACAACCTTGCCCTTTGGGGTACCTACCTTGACCCTACTATATCACTCAAGAGCCAGATGGATCATTTGCTTTCTATCCTCACATTCTCAGTTTCATACAGCCAGTTTCTGAAAACTGCCAAGTCTATCTTGCGAACATCTCTTGATTTGAGCCATTCCCACAGTCATCAACTTTTACCTGGTTTATTGAGGTAACCTCCTGTACTTATCCCATGGCCAGCTGGAGTTATCTTTCTAAAATGTACACTGACCAAGTCACTCCTAGTCTAAAACCTTCTATGGCTCCCACTGCAGGATAAAGTCCCAGACCCCTTAGCATGGCTTGAGACACATAGCAGCAACCCTGCTTACCTCTCTGGCCTTATCAATTGCCTTTTTGCTTTGTGGGTCATCTTCTGGAATATAGCTATACCATGGTTCTCTCTTGCAACTTTGGTTCTCCTTTCTACTAATCACATTGGTACTTTCTCAAGTTTGACTTAGATTTTACTTCCTCCAAGAAGTTTTGAATATCTCCTATCCCCACCTCAGTGCACCCCACAGATCATTCCAGGCTCACTTGCCTGCTTTATGGTCTGTCTCCCATTAGACTGTAAGCTCCTTGAGGGCAGGAACTATCCTTGGATTTTTTTTGTATCAACAGTGCCTAGTTTGTCACTTGGCGCATGAAAAGCACTCAATAAATGTTTGTTTAATGAATGATCAATGATGTGTACAAGGGGACTACAGGGTATCAAGGATGACTTCCTGGAGGAAGTTTAAGTCACTTTCATCTTTTCCTCAAATACACATGTTCTTCCGCCCTCTCCCCCAGATATGATGCCCATGCTTCCCTAAACTGCTGACCCCCCCCCCATGGCAGCTAGGAGCAAGGGATGGTACCCATAATAGCAGGGGTGCTCATGCCAGGTGACATATTAGCTGTCCTTCATGCTGTATGGATCTGTAGATGAAGAATGAGGCTTTGAACCCACAGAAGGACAACCTGAACACAGGGCAGAATTTTCCCTTGGTGCCTTGATCCTGGAAGCCTTGTCCCCATTGGGCTGGGAGAGGGGTGGAGGATAGCGTGCTGTGTGAATGTGGGAGCTCTGCCCTAATTTGTGAAGGAGGGAGGCCTGGAATCTGGGTTTGGGGGCGGAGGTTTCCTGTCCTTGAGCTTAGAAGGGAAGTCAATGGGCACTCGAGCCTATTTTTTTTTTCCCCACACAACATGAATTACCACATTTCCACTGCCTCCAGTAGAGGCTACCAATATAACTTTATGAGGACTGTGGAGGAGAGGGCAGCATTTGAGCTTGCAGTGCTAGCAGGAAGGCTTCGTCAAATGTCTCACGCAGGTTCATAGTCACACCGTCAATCCAGGTATCTTGGCCCACCTGCCGCTTCTGTGTCAGGTTCAGTACGCTTATAGGATATAAGCCCTCGGGCACTTTCATCCTGTATGGCTGCGACTTTGGGAACAGCGAGTCAACGATCACCTTGAAAGGCAGCTGGGGCAGGGGTGCCACCCAGTGGCCATCCACAGTGTGCAGACTCATAAGGCCATGGGCATCCTGAATCACCTCTAGGAAGCTGCTGAAGTCGTGTTCCCTGTGAGGGTCTGGATGCACACCCAGGCGGATGCCCTGTGGGCAGCTGATGTCAGTGGCAGGGGGTGTAGCAGGGTTACTGCTACGATTCCATGACTTGGGCCGCTGATGGATGAGGAATGGATTAAGGGGCTTAGGCAACATCTTAGGCTGCAGCAGTAAACTTTGCAGGCGTGCCTCCACAGTGCGGCGGACCCCCTTGGTTCCTGAGGTTGTTGAGAGAGCAAAGAATTGAGGTTGGGCACGAGCCTCTTGCGTGGAGCTGGAGATCAGGGGTTGGCATTGTTTCTTGGAATGGAGCCACTTGCTGAACTCAGTGTCTCTCTGAATGCTTTGTTCTTTCTGCATCAACAGAAGGGGTAGAGGGCTGTTCTTGTACTTGTGTGAAGGAGGCCCTGTGGCTATAGAGAACCCTGAATTTGATGAGAGAAATGTCTGCCTTGTGGGAGCCTTGGAGGAAAAAGCCCTTGCTCTGAGGAAGCTGCTGGGCCAATGGGGGGAGACAAAGCTTCACACCCTAATGAGGTGTGACCTCTATTGTCCTTGAAGAGGAGGGAGAAGCCCTTCCTGCCTAGGAATATACCAAGCTTTGTGAGACATCAAATCTTCTCCCCACAAAGGGATTCCTAGTCTGGTAATGAAGACATGTCCTGAAACAAGAGATTCTGGTTTGATGTGGGCAAGTAAATGAGAAGTACAACCTATTCCTTGACCCCAGAAGGAGAAAGTAAAAAGTTTGGAAGGCCTGGAGTTGGGGGAAGTGGTGATCCTTGAGATATCTGGTGTGGGTAGATCCAATCAGTACTGCTCCCAGGCTGGGTGGTAGGTAATGACAGAGTTCTATCCTTGCTTCTACCTCAGTGAAACTTCCACCTGCCCCCAAATCTCTTCACCCTACTGTCTCAAAGTGTCTCACTTCCAGACTGTTGCTAAGCAATCAGGCTTTGGAGAGATTGACCCAGCTTCAGGAGCAGTTTCTGATTAGGCTAAGCCAATCATCCTAATTCCATCAGCCTTGCCCTAGACATGAGTAAATCAACATATGGCTTTCCAGTCATTGGAATAGAGTGGACACATTGGATACAATTGAGGCCATCAGAGATTCCCTAGCCAACATGAGATTGAGTGGGTATCTGAAAGGGGCTTCTGAGAAGGGTTAGGGCCACAGGAAACAGATGGGCTTTGCCTCTTCTGGACATGTGTGTGCCTGTTAGTTTTGTGAAGAATCATGGAATCCATGCAGAGAAATGCAGCTAGAGTACAGCTGGATTGGGAAATAGTTACCCGGTCCTAGAGCCCTCTCCACATTGAGACCCACTTAAAGATTGCAAGTATCTGTCTGGGTTTTCTGGTTGTTTTAGTTTGCATCCTGTGTAATTGTACTTGCTTAAAATCCATCCCAGGTCTAGTCAGTCTTTCATTAATATGAATCCCTGTCCATCTCTTAACTCACATCTGTGTGTGAGTGCTGGTACTGGAGCTTGATCTCAGGCCTGAACACTGTCCCTTAGCTTTTTTTTTTCTCAAGGTTGGCACTCTACTACTTGAAGCACAGCTCCATTTCCAGCTTTTTGGTGGCTAATTAGATGTAAGAGTCTCACAGACTTTCTTGCCTGGGCTCCCTTTCATCCACAGTCCTCAGATCTCAGCCTCCTGAGTAGCTAGGATTACAGATGAGAGGCACCAGTGCCCAGCTTCCAACTTCCATATGATCCCCAAGTTTGCTGTTTTCACTGTACATTGTGTTCCCATGTTCTCCTATGCCCTTCCACATGGCCTTTCCTTCCATCGGGCCTTCCCTACTTCGTATTGCCAACCCACGAGGCTGCCGATACTCAAAGACCTGTAAGCATCCCTTCCATCAGAAGAGGGACCATGTCTTACTTTCTCCCTTGCCTCTAAGCTTCTTGAATTTAGAGTGAGTGCTAAGTGTCTGTGGAGACATGAGTTCTAATAACAGGCAGGGCTCTGGCCTTATTAGAGGCTCTCATCCTGAGTGGGCAGTATATCAGAAAGGCCTCATGAATACGTACTAATTTAGGCTGCTTTTGCTTTCTAATGCTACACAAGACCTTTGACCTAAAGGAGGAAGGAATTTCAGCAGAATAGAAGGGTGGGGTTCGGTGGAGGAGAGAGCTCCCACTCTGGGCATGAGTGCTAACCACTCTTGTCACTAGAGCAGGTAGGTCCCTACCTCTATGCCCACATGCCTGCATAGCAGCAGTGCCTGGCCCTGCCTGGCTTCCCTCTTACTTGGTGTTTTATCAGGTAGTTTTGCTCCATGGATATCAACTTGTTCTTGAGGTGCTTCAGTTTCTCCATCTCACGGGCAAAATCCTTCTTATCATGTTTCCACATGGCATCTTTCAAGAACCTGGCACCAGGGTGAGGACATGTCACCGCACAGGTATAGAGCTTCTATGCTGGTTAGGAGGACTGGTGGCTGCTGAAGGTATGGATGGTATGGGAGGAGCTACCAGAGTAGGGAAGAGCAAGATGACCCACTGACCAGAGGCCCCCTGGCATATTATATCCTTTGGAGAGAAAAAGGAAAGTGTCTCATGGTCTGATCATGACCCTCTGAAGGAGAAGCCTTAAGAATAGGACAGAGGGTGATGTTCAACCTCAAGAGTTAAAGCCTGGCAAAAGTCCTGCCAATATCTTGGGTGTAGAGCTTCCTCCACATGTGGTTCTCCAGACCTTCCTCATAAAAGGCTCAGCCTTGGGTGGGGTCTGTGAGGGGAGAGGGAAGCAGGTGGGGAGGGTTGGCAGGCTGCTGGTGTTTCCCACACCCTCACCGAGCACAGGAACGGTGGTTCCATATTTTGCAGTAGTCGATGGGCTTGCAGCCTGTGGCATCTCGGGCATGGACATCAGCACCATTCTGCACCAGGACCTTCATGCATGTCAGCATGCCATCACAGGCTGCCAGGTGCAAGGGTGTGGAACGGTTGAGTGTCACACTGTGGAGGGTCCCACCATGAGGAGAGAGGGCAGAAAGAAGGACAAAGGTACCTGGCTCATCAGATAGGCGGGTGAGCAAGCTTCTAAGGGCTCACTCCAGCACCACCTATTAGATGACCCTGGCCATGTCCCTTTACCTCTCTGGACTTCAAGTTGCTCTACTAAATGAACTAGACTAAATGAACTAGACTAAATGAACAGGAAACATCTTTCTTTAGGAGGCATGTGACAGTTCAGAACTGCTGGAAGGAGACCTGGGTCAGTTCAGAGCTACCAACCTCATCTAGTCAAACAAGTCTGCCACATCTGCCCCTTCTCCTGGCTCTCAGGCTCTGCAGACCTGGGCCAGCTTCTTCCTCCAGCTCATCCTCTGATCATGCCCCACTCACTCCCAACACATAGTCTTTGACTTGATTTTCCCTCTGCCTGGAACACTTTCCCCAGGTTCTTTGCATGTCTGGCTTACTCAGCCTTTAAATTAAAAATTAAACACCTTCTTAGAGGTGATTAACTCTTCCAAAATAGGTCCTCCCCGCTCCATCATCCTTTTTACGCCTTTCACTGACCACATCTCATGTTGTATGGGAATTCTGTCCCATTACTTGTTGCCAATTTTCTATCTGTTTCTGCACTTAGAATGTCAAGTCCCTTCATGAGAGAAGGGACCTTACTGTGTATTAACTGCTAACCCCCAATTCTGAAATAGTATTTATTGGCTCATAGTACATAGTGTATACTCCATTTTTGATAATTTTAAAGGGATAGAACAGTTTATTAGGAATACTTGTTGACCCCCTCATCCCAAGTTTGAACTTGGCCTGGGCACTGTCCTTGCACTTTTTTGCTCAAGGCTTCCTGAGTACCTAGGGTTACAGGTGTGAATTACCAGCACTTGGCCCCAAAATGCACTTTTAATAGATAGCAGTGGGTCATTTCCATGGTGAGAATGACCTTTTTGATAAATATTTTAAATGAACACAGTCCATTATATATCATGTATTTTCTCAGTTATCCTAAGAATTTATGCAATAGGTAAATTTAGTTGGGGGACAGTTAACTGGGAATTAGAAACACCTGGGTTTCTTTTAAGAGTTCCAAAGCCCAGGACAGGAAGATGCCAAAAACATGAAGTCGCAACCTTTGGAATGAAACACTAGCATTGATTTTGTTGTTGTTGTTGTTGTTGTTTTGTGTGTGTCTGTGTGTGCACATGAACACACACCTGCCAGTACTGGGGCTTGAACTCAGCACCTCACAGTCTCACTTGGCTTTTTCACTCAAGGCTGGAGCTCTACCACTTGAGACACACTTGCTTCTAGCTTTTAGTGCTGGAAATTTTAAATCTGAGATAATCTCATGGACTTTTTCTGCCCAGGGTAGCTTTGAACCTTGATCCTCAGATCTCCACCTTTTGAGTACCTAGGATTGCAGGTGTAAGGCCACCAGCATCTAGCTAGCCCTCAAGGTGATTCCAATGTACACATAGGCCTGGAAAGAGCAGTGAGGTTGACAGCTTGGGTGATTTGGCTAATGTATTACTGTATGCTAGTAAATGGCAAAGCTGGAGATATAAACTGGGTATTTCTACTCCCAAAGCCCAGGATCCTAACCATGATATGACTGTGGGCTCCACTGCATTATATGGAACCAAATCCCTGTTCTCTTCCCCACTCCCCATCTTCCATGAACCTGCCAGCTGGCCTGCCTGCCCAGGCTCCCAAACCTCCCTCCTGAAGCAGGCTGGACTCACGAATTGATGGCTGCCCCTTTCTGGAGCAGGTAGTCAATGCAGGGGACAGCCATGGTCTTGTTGTCCTTATGGATGACGAGGTGCAGGGGGGTCCGGCAATCGTCGGTGGGTAGATCGACAGGAAACTTGTATTCCTCTACCAAGACCTGTATACATGACAGCCTGGCACGCTGGGCCGCCAAATGGATGGCTGTGAAGCCCTGTGGAATTCGGGTTGGGCAGAAGGCTGAGCGGGACGGGGGCCCGAAGGCCCACAGCCTAGCCGGTGCCCGAATAGCTCACGCTCCTTTCCCACTCCTGCTGGGTGTCGGAGCACCCACCCCCTAATGGGCTTCCTACTCAAGGTGAATCGGAGCTCCACGCGTGCCCCATCTTTGTCCGGCGACCACAGCTGGAGGAACTCTTTTCGGGGTGTGCGGGAGGGACTTGGTTCCTGCTTCCACACTTCCAGGCGTTACCTTGTCATCGGCCAAGATTTCCTGGCGGTCGGGATTGATACAGAACCGCAGCCATTCTACGTTGCCCACCGCGGCGGCGAACAGCTCGGAGTACTTTCCAAAGGTGTGGTAGTCGGACAGCTCGCCGGGGCTGAGGGCGGCGCGGGGCGGGAGTGAGCGGGGCCGGGCCCGGCGGCCGGCCCGGCGGCCGGAGGAGGGGAGTCCGCGCGGCGAGGGCGGTCACCCGGCCGCAGCCCCGGAGGTGAGCTCGGGCCGGGCCGCCCCGGGGCGCAGCACCTGCCCCACCCCCTCCAGGGGCGCCACGCCCGGGGCCGGCCCGCCCACCTGCGCTGCTGGCTCGTGGAATTACTCCGGCTCCACGTGAGCCTTCGCGGCAGCGAGACGTGCCGAGTCAGCCGCCCCTCCCTGCCCGCGAAGACAGACCCATCCCAGGACCGCGCCGAGGCCCGGCGGCTGAAGCTTCCGCCGAGCGCCCGGGGCTCGGAAGGCAGCCGAGCGCGTGCGGCCGCATCCCCGGGGGGCGATCCGCCGCCGCCCGCCTTCTCCATGGCGCGGCCTCGGGGCCTCCGAGGGGGCTCGCTCGGCTCGCGGCGGGATGGAACCCGGCGCGCCCCGCGACCCTGCCCGCCTCCGCGTGGCTCCGCGGGCCCTCTGCCCCGGAAACCGCAACGGCGCAGCCGGCGGCACGGCGTTTATTCGGATCGCCTAAGTAGAAAACAGAAAAGTTCAATGTGGAAATCACAATCACCGCGTCGCCGCCCACAGCAACTGGGTTCTATTGCGAGACCACACGCTTCGCACACATTTTCGGATCTCTTGGTCCTTTCGCGTTGTATTACGAGCTAGCTCTCACTGCCATTCTATGTACCAAACATGCATTATGACGTAGCGACAGCCCAGCGTCACACAGCCCATCCAGGCTGCCGTGACCCGTGCTGGAGAGAGCAAAGCGGCTCGGCTCAGGTTATCTTCCTGGAATGGATTTCTGCAGATAGCATTAGTAGATGGTGGAGGTAAGAGAAGGCGTGCGCGACTGTACTCCCAGCGGAGGCAGGAGGACCACAGGGTAGAGGCCAGCCTGAGCTGCATAGGAAGCCCTTGTCTCAAAAAAACAAAATATTATTCGATGAAAGAGAATGAATATTTTTGGCTATTGATTTAAATTTCCAACCACATTCCAGAAGAGGTTTTTTACATGCATTTTCACTAGAAATGAAGCAGGCACGCCACCCATTAGAAGCCAGGGCTGTGGGACAGTCACTCGACCTCTGCCTGTTAGGTTTCTGTTCCTTAACAAGATGCGGAGCTTAGGAGCAAACAGATAAGCGCTCTCCCTGCATTCACTATTGATGAGAGAACTAGTTAAACCTTTGCTAGCATTTGGATATGATGATTTTAACTGTTTGCTAATCTGATCGTGGAAATCATATTCTAATGTGGCTCCTTGATTCACAAAGATTATATATTTAATTATCATTTAATTCCCTTCTGGAAATCATTGGTTTATTCACAATGTTTTTAAGGGTCTCATTGTGTTTCTTATTGATATATAAAACTTATTAACTCAGTGCCTTTTTTTTGTCTGGTGGTAGAAATGGGGTTTGAACCCAGGGCATCTATGTTGCTGGACAAGAGCTTTACCACTGTGCTACATCTACAGTCCTAGGAGGAAAAGTGACAGTACAGAGGAGTTACGCCAGACATAGATAGTTTACAAAATCTCCTAGGTGGTTGGTTCTCTTAGGCTGCTAAGATTTAGAACTACATTAAATATTCCTGCCAGTCTTCTTTCTAGGGAGGTAAGAGGCTGCAGGTGATCCTGAGGGAGGAGGTTCAGGACAGTGAGTTAGGAATGCAAGGGTTTTCAGGACCCTTGATACCTAGAATAATTTGCTATCAAATCTTTATGCCCAACTTCCATGTCTGGAATGAAAGCACCAGAAGTTCTATCTACCCAATCCCCACAAAACAACCATAATGGATGGAAACTACTTTTTTTGTTCTTGTTGGTCGTGGGTCTTGAACTCTGGGCCTGGGTGCTATCCCTCAGCTCTTCAACTCAAGGCTAGCACTCTACCACTTGAGCCACAGAACCACTTCCAGCTTTTTCTGCTTATGTGGTGCTGAGGAATTGAACCCAGGACCTCATGCATGCAAGGCAACCACTCTACCATTGAACTACCTTCCCAGCCCGGAAACTACTTTTTTTTTTTGTAATTGACTGTTTTGGTGTTTTTTATTTTTTAATGTTTTTGTCCTTATGGCACACACATACACACACACTACACAGAGAGAATAAATCTACTAAATCTCATTAATAACAGAATCTGTGGCATCTGAGCTACCACCCACTCTTTCCTTCTATCTTCAAATCATAGCAATAGCCAAAGCTCTCCAATATGAGTAATTGGCTGAGAAATTGACACTTCCTCTTCAGCTCCTGAGAGATAGGATATTTTATTGGGAGAAGCAAGCTGCTTCTTGTGCTTTACAGGCTAAATTCCTGCTGAGCATAGCTAAAAGATTGAGGGATCCCTTTCTTTATCCCCTAATAAAAAGGCATGCAAGGCATGACATACTAAGAATATTGGGGCCCCAATCACTTGCCACTTTACTCACAGGAACTATATTAGGAGAGGCAAATCAACAGGACCAGAGGCTACCACCCCTGCCCAGAGCTCTCCCCATAAGAGGGTTATCCTGTCTTCAGCTCTACAGCAGGTACTCAAAGGTTATGCCCCATCAATTCAGTAGAGCTCCAAGCCATGTGGTGTGGTACAAGCCTATAATCCCAGCAGTCAGGAGGCTGAGGCAAGAGAATCACAAGTTCTAGGCCAGTTTGGACCATATAGTAAGTTCCAGGTTAGCCTGGGCTGCATAGTTACATTCTGTCTCCAAACAAAAACAAAACATTCTCCAAGGATTTCCATCAAAGACTGATTTATTTGTAATAGTGTGGGGACATAGAGAAGGGGGGGGGGTCTAATGTTATTCTCAAAATGGAGATTGTTGTAGAAAGCAATTTTAAAAAAATCTAAACTGTATGTGAGCTAGTTTGCTACAGGGAACCAGGGAAAGCTTAGAAGATCCCTGATAGTGTCACAACAAACCTTAAAGACTAGCTATAAAAATAACCTTGCAAGATCAGTCTAGGGAGCAATTGATTCCTTGGGGAATCAGAAAATAGAGCAATAAGCAGGCAATTAGTGGAGACTAAAAGCTGAGGCAAGGGCAGACAATTTAACCACCAGGGAGTCACCAGGGAGAGATAGTCCAAGAAGATCCTGCTTAAAGCACAGCCATTTAGAGTGACTATAGAGTATGGCCAAGGTACACCCTGTAGTGGTCATTCAGTGTTCATTATGGGGGTGGGGGAGGCTTCACCAAAAAAAAATCCATCATTAGAACAAAGTCCCAGAGAGAAGCAAGAAAATAAAAATGTTGTTGCCAAAACATATTACCTAAAAAAATCCAGTTACCAACAAAAACTAGGAGATATGCAAAGAAGCAGGAAACTGTAACCCATAAGCAAACAATAAAACCAGGCAACAGAAACTGCCCAGGAAAAGTCAGATATCAGACTTTTAGACCAATACTTGGAAGTAGTATTCTAATCATGTTCCAAAAACTAGAGGAGGGGCTGGGAAGGTGGCTCAGTGGCAGAGTGCTTGCCTTGCATGCATGAGACTCTGGGTTCGATTCTGCAGCACCACATAAGCAGAAAAAGCCAGAAGTGGTGCTGTGGCTCAAGTGGTAGAGCACTAGCCTTGACTAAAGAGATGAGGGACAATGCTCAGGCCCAGAGTTCAGGTCCCATGACCATCAACAACAACAACAAAAAAAAACTAGAGGAAACCCTGTTTAAAAAAAAAAGTAAAAGAAAAGCTAGGGATGTAGCTCTGTAGTAGAGTGCTTAACTAGCATGTGAAAGGTCTTGAATTGGAGCCTTAGCACTATAAAAAAATAAGTTCATCTTCCTCACTTTTTCCGCTTTCAAGAAGCATTCAGAGTTGGGCACCGGTGGCTCAGGCCTGTAATCCTAGGTACTCAGGAGACTGAGATCTGAGGATCACAATTCAAAGCCAGCTGTGGCAGGAAAGTCCATAAGACTTATTTCCAATTAACCACCAGAAAACTGGAAGTAGTGCTATGGCTCAAGCTGTAGAGCACTCACATTGAACAGAAGAGCTGAGGGATTACGCCCAGGCCCAGAGTTCAAGCCCCATGACTGACCAAAAAAAAAAAAAAAAAGAAGCATTTAGGATATCCTTATAGATAGGGGGACATCACAGCCTTCAGCAGCAGACATTCTGGATTTCTGGACCCCTATTGGTTGTTTTTTCTTTTTTTCATTTGTGCCAGTCCTGAGGACTGAATTCAGGGTCTGGGAGCTCTCCCTGAGCTGTTTTTCTCAAGGCTAACTCTCACTTTACCACTTGAGCCAGAGCTCTACTTCCATCCAGCTTTGTGTGTGTGTGTGTGTGTGTGTGTGATTAATTGGAAAGTCGTGTGTGTGTGTGTGTGTGCGTGCGCGCGCGCCTGTGCGTGTGTGATTAATTGGAAAGTCTTACAGACTTTCCTGTCTTGTCCGGCTTCCTGACAAGATCCTCAAATCTCAGTCTCCGGAATAGGATTACAGGCATGAGCCACCAGTGTCTGCCTTACCTATTTCTTTTCTTTTTCTTTTCTTTTCTTTCTTTCCTTTTTTTTTTGTCAGCCGTGGAGCTTGAACTCTGGGCCTGGGACTATCCCTCAGCTCTTCAGCTCAAGGCGAGTACTCTAGCCGGTGCTGGTGGCTCACACCTATAATCCTAACTACTCAGGAGGCTGAGATCTGAGGATCTTGGTTCAAAGCCAGCCGGGGCTTATCTCCAATAAAACACTAGAAAACCGGAAGTGGCAGAGCGCTTGCCTTTAGCTGAAGAGCACAGGGACAGCGCCCAAGCCCAGAGTTCAGGTCTCACGACCACCCAAAAAATAAAAAAAAAAAAAGGCTAGTACTCTAACACTTGAGCCACAGTGCCACTTCCGGCTTTTTCTGCTTATGTGGGGCTGAGGAATTGAACCCAGGGCCTCATGCATGCAAGGCAAGCACTCTACCACTGAGCCACCTTCCCAGCCCTGCCTTACCTATTTCTTAACTAGGAAACTTTTATTCGCCCTCTGCCCCCCATATCCTCAGCCCATATCCTCAGGTCCCTTCCAGAGGCCAGGCCATCTCCCCCCCACCTCCTGCCCTATCTGCAGAGCCGTTTAAAGTCAAACACATTCTTTGTGGAAAGTTGTCCCTTCTGTGGCCTTGAGCTCTATGCAAGTTTATCAAGAAATCGAGAATTCTGTTATCAACTGCTTTAAGACAAAAAAAAGAAAATAGTAGAATCTGCTCCACCATCTGCACCTTCAACAATTATTATTTTGCCAATCTTGTTTTCACCTAAGATAAAATTCACCTCAGTTCTTGGGGTGCATCTTTTAAAATAAAAGTACAGGGTTCGGGGGTGGGGGTTAGCTCAGTGATAGATAGATTACTTAGCATGAAGGAGAACTTGAGTTCCATCTCCACCACTTCCCCAAACAGGAAAAAGGTCCCTAACCCCCAAATCAAATAAAAAATATGATGCCACCGGCTTAGTAACTTCTCCTTCTTTCTCTGTGTTGAAGGGTGGAGCTTGGGCTCCCCGGTCGCCTTCAGGGGGCCGAGGGGACGCAGGAGAGGTGAGCTGGGGTGCGAGCGGGAGATGGGGAGATGGAGGATCCGGGCGGCAGGTCCCGGAGGGCTGGGAGAGCTCGGTCCCGGACCTCGCGGAGGAGCACCGCGCCGGCTAGAGCGCCGTGTCGGCCGCGGGGTCCTGCGCAGGCCCCTCGCGGGAGTAGAACTCTTCGATCACGCTCTGCGGGATGCGCTTCAGCATCTCCTTGGGGAAGATGCGCAGCAGCTTCCAGCCCAGGTCCAGAGATTCGAACACCGAGCGGTTCTCGTAGGAACCTGGGGGCCGAGCGGGAATGTCAGGGGGTGGGTGGGGCGGCTGGGAGGAAGGCGGGGCGGGGACGCGCGGCTCACCCTGGTTGATGAAGTTCCTCTCGAACTTCTGCAGGAATTCCAGGTAGAGCAGGTCTTCGGAGGTGAGCGCTTCCTCCCCAACCACGGCCTTCATGGCCTGCACGTCCTTCCCGATGGCGTAGCAGGCGTACTGAGGGAGGGGGACGGGGACAGAGGGGACCGGTGGGGCCATCGGAGGGGCTGATCGGGAAGCGGGTGCCCCCTTCTCCCACCCCCTCGCCCAGGCTGTGCTAGCGAGCTCCTTTGAGTAGTTTCGTCAGAATCGGGTCCACACGGGACTCATCTCCAGCTTCTGAAAACCCGACCCTCTCCTCACCAACTGGTTAGAGACGTCGCCGTGGTCCTTCCTCGTCATGCCCTCCCCAATGGCGGATTTCATCAGCCTTGACAGGGACGGGAGCACGTTGATGGGCGGGTAGATCTGGAGCGGGGGAGGAGCGTGGTGGACAGCCGGCCCCAAGCTGTGCTGTCCCGGCCTTTGGCTCGTCATCCCCACCCTCGCCCCGTGCCTGGTTCTGGGGAGACTCCTAGAAGAATCTGGGAAGAGGTGAGGGATCCCGCTCCCCTCTCTTTATTTCCCACGGGTTCTAGGGCTTGAAGTCTCCACGTGGTAGCCTTAGGCAGGACTGTAGATGGGGTGAACATTAGTGAAAGACTATTTCAAACCATTTGATTATGTGGACAAAGCAGATTGATGTTTCTTAGCGGTAAAGAAAGAATCTGCTGTTCGAGGGTAAAGTTGTAGCTTTCTTTTTCTATTTTCTGGCAGTATGGGGATGTTCAAGTCACGGTTTTATATTTGCTAGGCAGGCACTCTACCACTTGAGCCACATGTTAATCCTTTTTGTTTTAATCTTCCAGATACAGTCTCAAGAGACTGTTAGCTCTGGTTAGCTCTTACTTAATCTTACATATGCTTCCCAAGTAGCTAGGATTACAAATGTGGATCACCATGCTTGATGTGTTCTCTTTTTGTTTTGTTTTTGTCAGTTGTGGAACTTGAACTCTAGGCCTGGGTGTTGTCCCTCAGCTCTTCAACTCAAGGTTAGTGCTCTACTACTTGAGCCACAGTGCCACTTTCGTTTTGCTGGTGGTTAATTGAAGAGTCACTTTCCTGCCCAGGCTGGCTTTGAACTGTGATCCTCAGATCTCAGCCTCCTGAGTAGCTAGGATTACAGGCCAGAACCATCAGCGCCCACTTTGGTGTGTTCTTTGAAAGAAAGGGGTACTTGCTAACTTCCCCACCCCCTCCACCCCAGACTGTCCTGTCCTCAATCTGCAATCTTCCTAAATCCTCTTTCCACTTTTTCCTCCAGGCTATACTCAAACCACAATCCTCCTACGTCTTTTTCCTGTATAACTGGGATTAGAGGTGTGAGCCTCTGCATCTTGCCCCTGAGTACAACCTTTAGCCCTTTTAGACCTGTGTGTGTGTGCCAATCCTGGAGTTTGAACTCAAGGCCTGAGTGTGTCCCTGAACTTTTGTGCACAAGGATAGCACTCAGGGGCTGGGAAGGTGGCTCAGTGGCACTTGCCTTGCATGCCTGAGGCCCTGGGTTCGATTCCTCAGCACCACATAAGCAAAAAGAAAAAAAGCCGGAAGTGGCACTGTGGCTCAAGTGCGCTAGCCTTTTGCTGAAGAGCTGAGGGACAGCGCCCAGGCCCAGAGTTCAGGCCCCACGACCGGACCCAAAAAAAAAAAAAAAAAGGATAGCACTCTACCACTTGAGCCACAGCTCCATGTCCAGCTTTCATGACTGGCTGGCTTCAAATCTTGATCCTCAGATCTCAGCCTCCTAAATAGCTAGGGTTACAGGTGTGTGCCACCTTGCCTGGCATGGGATCAATATTTTCTAGCCCTGTGGCCCTTTATTCACAATTTACTTGTTTTAGCCATTGGTTTCTGCTCACCAAAGCAAATAACTGGAAAAGGAAGGGAAATGTTGTTATTTAGTATCTACTAATTAGCAGCAGATGTTTCTTGTCTGCTAGTTTAGTTTATTTTCCACAATGTATTGGTGAGCATTCCCTTGTCATCAAAGAACAATTCTAGGCCCAGAGAAATGAGATTGTTTTCTCAGGGTCCCATGACAGATGGGCTGGATTCTACCCAGCTGTAATCAGTTTTCCTAAGTGCATATTGCCCCTCTGCACTGTATTTGTAGAAGAGAACAGAAGCGGGAGGGAGGGAGCAGTACCTGCCGGTTATATAACTGTCTGTCCACGTAGATCTGTCCTTCTGTGATGAAGCCTGTCAAGTCTGGGATGGGGTGGGTGATATCTACAAGAAAATGCACTGGTCTTAATGAGGATGGGTCTAGGTTTCTGCCCACTTAGGATCATTAGGATTTTAGCCCTCTTGTGAGGGGGGGGGTTGTGTGTGTGTGTGAAAAAGGGGCAAAGCTACTGTGCAGCCTCACAAAACAGCATGTCCTCTCCCTTTCTCTCTCATTCCCTCTCCCTCCCCTCACATCTGGGTGAGAAAGGGAAGGAAGATTCTGGAGGTTGGGGGCTGCAAGAAGGCTACCATCATTGGGCATGGTGAGGATGGGTATCTGTGTGATGGATCCTCCTCGGCCCTCCACGCGGCCTGCTCTCTCATAGATGGTCGCCAGGTCTGTGTACATGTATCCTGGGAAGCCTCTGCGGCCGGGCACCTCCTCTCTGGCAGCTGAGACCTGCAATACCCATGGGCATTGAGAGTAAGACAGGAGATCAGAGGTAGAGACTGGGAAGGGGGAGAAGGATGTCTGGAGTGGAGGGATGGAGAGGAACAGCAGGGTGCAGTAGGTGAGCTCCCTTCTTCTTCAGGGTAACCCCTGGATTGTGATGGCTAGGAAGACAACAATGGACCTGACACTGTCAGCCAGCTCACCTCCCGCAAGGCTTCTGCGTAGGAACTCATGTCCGTCAAGATGACCAGCACGTGCTTCTCACACTGGTAGGCAAGGAATTCGGCAGTGGTTAGTGCCAGGCGTGGGGTGATGATCCGCTCAATCCTGGAGGCAAGGCATGGCCAAAATTTAGAGATCTTGGAGGTCTAGGCCTGGAGCCCCCATGTAGGCCCAGGGAGAGTGCAAGGTGAACTGGGAAACTGGTTCACATATAGCAACAAGGTATGGAGAACTTGGGCCCTTGCCTCCAAGCCCCAGGTCTGGGCCATTTTCCAGGGAGCAGGTACTTGCTAGCAAATCTGATTCCCCTTGCTACTACCTCTCCAACATACAGAGGGGATCAGAGCCAAGGCCAGCATGGGAGTTTCTTAAGAGGGCCAGATTTATTTCATGATGAGAGTAGCCTTGTCAGATGGGGTGGGAGAAAGTGAAGGACTCTAATGTGTTACCCTCATGAGTGGCCTGGGGCAGAAGCACCTGCTCTAGTACCCTCTTAGCCCAGGGCACCCTGAGTTTGGGTCCCTCTTTGTCTTCTCTCGGATCCCAGCGCACACTCGTGTACCCTTCCCATCTGAAGCACCTATGAGCACCCTTCTTTTGACTCAGCCACTCTCAATCCCTAGACTTGCTTGGGCTTTTGGTTCCCATCCTTGGTAGGAACCAAATCTTGGCCTCTACAATTGTATTACTTAGTTTTTGCAGCAGCCTCAATACTGAGGATAGTTTATTGGAATTAATTTTGCACCTGATACCCAGATCTTCAACTCCTACTAAGTTTTCAAAACAGTGATTTCTCTAAGGAAACAGCAAAGCGGTGACTTTCTGGGAGTGGCCCTAGGATGGTGGGGTCCTGCCTTAGAACAGTGGCTGCATGTAGGTTGTGGGAGGAACAGAGGCACCACAGGTGGCAGGAAAGGCCATGCTCTGGCTGCCTGTGTCTCTCAGTGGGCTTTCTTTAGCCCTTCCCAGGCCTCATCCCCCTGTGCCCCTCCAACCCCCCATCTGTACAACCACAATGTTTTCTCCTAAGTCTGGCTTATGGTTGTGGTACTGGGTCACCCTGAGCCTTTGGACTTTGAGTCTTGGAAGGAGAGAGGGCTTACTCCCTGAGGGCAGTCTGGGCATGGGGAGGGCTCACGTGGGGTCATTGGCCAAGTTCAGAAAGAGACAGACGTTTCCCATGGTTCCATTCTGCTCAAAGTCTGACTTGAAGAACCTGGCTGTCTCCATGTTCACCTGCGCACACAGCAGAGAGGGTTAGAAGCAGTACCCTGCAGCCTGAGGGCAAGCCTAGCCCCGCCCAGCTCTCCTCAAAGCCTGTGGATTGACTGGCTAACAGTTGCTGGGGTTAATAGTCACTGGGTGACTCAGGCTTGATCAGGTCCTCTAGAGAAGGTAGACTTTTTCATCTTGAGTTCTACTCAGTGGCATCACTGCCCCCTTCTTTGATGAACTGCTTTCCCTACAACTCTCTGTCTTCCCCCAAAGGCCCTCTGAGAGCCCCTCCCTGCAGCTGTCTTGTCTCCCTAGGATCCATGGTTTCCTCCTTCAGACCACACTGGGCCTTATCATATGGCTGTCATAGCCTTTGGGATGCCTTGTGTGACCAAACTGATTTGGTCATGCTCTTGCTCTTATCTCTATCACCAGACTTGCCTGGAGTTTGATGGATTGTCACCTAGAAGCAGGACTGTGTCTCCCCCCACTCTGATCAGGTGGTGCCAGGGTCTGGGATCAAGATAGGCCTGCCTGATCACAGCTTCCAGAACTTGCAGGTCCTCTCAGCCTCCTTACCCCCATAGCTGCAAAGACAATGGCGAAGTTGTCCTCATGATAATCAAGCACTGCCTTGGATTTCTTCACCAGCCCAGCCTGGCGGCAGATCTGGGCAGCAATCTGTGGCAGAATGGGTCAGGAGAGAGGCCATGAGAGCAAAGCCCAGAGCACTACAGAACACCAGTGAGAATGGACAGAAATCTCCAGTCTATCCTCCCTCCACTGCCCCAAGCCCTTGGGTGTCCAAACTCAGAGAGGTTAAGGGGCTTCCTTGGGCTCTACAGCCTTTCTTGGGGAGATGGGGTGGCCTGTTCTATGCCTACTAAATGTCTGAAGGTGCCCATCACTAGGAGCAGGGCAGAGGAATGAATGGTCCCCAAGAACAAATTCCTGAGTATGGTTTTGAGTAAGTTGGCTCAGGGCAGTTAAGCCTTTGAGACCCGCACCTCCCACAGCCTGCTGTGATTCTGTGTGTAGAGTTGCTCCGGGCCTGCAGTAGGAGGGCTTGCAGACCTCATGTACCAAACCAGGATATGTGTGTGGATGTGTGGAAGGATGGAGGCACTTAGCCATCTGGTCACAAACACCATTTTGAGAGTGAGCTGGGGCACACTCAGACGTGGTGGGGAAAGACTGACTAGAAACCTTGACACATCAGCTACTCTAAGAAGCTGCTGTTCCTGCCTGGTGCAGTGAGCAGCACAAGAACTAGCAGGGAGAGGCTGCAGCCCATCTGGCAGCGCTTTTGACACTAGGGGATACTTAGGTGTTGTCTTGAGCCAGTGAGTTACCCACTCACTTAAGGCAGTTGGAAGTCCTGCTGTGGAGCAGTGACACTTGCTGTATGCCAGGTCTTAAGTAGTCCTGAAGCCCTGAACTTCCAGGGGATGCCTGCTGGTCTGGATGCTGGTGATTCCCACTTCCTGTTCTCAATAGGAACCCAGCTTGTTGGCTCAGCAGCCTAGGCCTTCACTTTGTCCTTGCGCCTTGGTTATACCCCACAAGCTCACCTCATTGTGAGGGAGCCCTGCTGCAGAGAAGATGGGGATCTTCTGACCACGTGCAATGCTGTTCATGACATCAATGGGAGAGAGGCCTGTCTGAATCATCTCCTCTGGGTAGATGCGGTCATGGGGATTGATGGGCTGGCCTAAAAAGGAGCAACCATGGATGCTCAGGGGTTGTAGCCCTTCCCTTCCTTCCCCACCCATGCCCCATCTCCAGAGAACTTTCTGCCATGGTAGAACTGTGCTCTGTCTGCACCACGTTGCATAGCCCTAGCCATGTGGCTATTGCCATATGAAATGTGGCTTCCAAATGAAGCCTTCTTTCCTATTGGTTTAAGTTTAAACAGCGACAGGACCTGTGCTACCTTGGACAGAGCCGCTTTAGAGTTTGGAAGCTGGTGGTGGGAACTCAGGCTGACGGTTCCTTGGGCTAAGACAGTTTTCTCTTCATACCCCAGACCCTTGTGTGGGGTTCAGAAGACCCAAGGGTGACTCAAAGACCACTTCTCTGAGCTGTTGTGTGCTCTGTGCTCTCGCATCAACTTCCTGATGGCTTGGGCAAGCTACAGGCAACCACAGGGCTCTGTCAGTCCCTCCATAGACTGAGAGGTGGGAGTTGGACTGAGAGGAAGAACTTCAGGATGTCTCAGAGCCTGGGTGGGGCTTTTGCTGCTGCTGCAAACCATGTCAGCCTTAGCTTTCATGGTGGCACAGGAACTAAAGGTGGGCAGGGATGTCTTGGGAGCACATGCAGAACACTGCGCAATGCAGTGACATTTTACAGGGGTGAGACGTGGCATGCTGAGGGCAGTGTTCAGCTTCAGTGGTAGATCTAGCGACAGAGAAGCCTTTGCTTCTCGGACATTATACTGTATCTATTTGTTTGATCAGCCAGCCCAAAGGCCATCACTGGTCAGTCATTCTGACTTGTGTAGGTAGAACTCCCAAGGGTAGAATGACAGAGATGATGGGGGGGGGAGGGTTGGAGACTAAGTCCTATAATCCATCCAGAGCCTCCCCTCACTCACCATTGATGTCCAGAAATTCCTCCGCCATGACCACTGGCCCTTTGTCAATGGGTTTGCCAGAGCCATTGAAAACTCGACCTGAGAGTGAGAGGGGGTGTAGAATGTGTTCAGGGCCAGCCCTGGGTCTCTCACAGATCTCATCTCCTGCATCACCACCAGGATCCTCTCACCAACATCCCATTGTGTCCCCACCTCCTCAGAGTCTGTCCCAGGAAGATGACTATAGGAACTGTCACCCTGAGAGTCCTCATGTTTCTCATGGAGACCTTTATGGGCAAGGTCTTGGTCTAGGACTCTGATTCTAGTAGGAGGATTCTAGGGCTGCAAAGAGGGAACTATCAGGCAAGGTGGGTCTTGAAATAAATTTTTGGGATATGCACAATTCAGTCTAACCTCAAATAAGGTACCTGCTGTATCTGTAGTTTATTGAACTTGCTTTGCTCATTGAATATTTTCTGTATGGCACGCCCTGAGCTGGCGTTGGGAACCAAAGAGAGAAGATATCACCTGTGGCCTCAAATTGCACACAGGTAAGACAGGCATGCAAACAAGCAATACAATGTGGTACGTAAAGGGCCGAGAGGGCTCTGCCCAGCATGTCCCTCACCCAGCATGTCCTCTGACACTGGAGTCCGTAAGATGTCCCCTGTGAATTCACAAGTTGTCTTCTGGGCATCAATTCCAGAGGTCCCTTCAAACACCTAGAGGACAAGATATAGTTCCTCTGATAAAGGCTTGCTGGAGAGATTGATCTCCACTCCAGGCATTATTTGTGCCCAGGTTTGGGCAGGCCAACAGGGAGGTAGTTAATTTCTTGCTTGTAAGAGAGTGTGGTAATTTTGTGAGCTCATTTGTGTATTCACTCGGCCAACAGAGCTCCGTGACACCACCTACCTGAACAATGGCTTTGGTCCCAGCCACCTCAAGCACTTGGCCACTCCTCTGAGTCCCATCCGGGAGGGTGAAGTTCACAATCTCTGCATACTGTGCAAACTGACAGGGAAAGAGAGAAGTCCAGGATGGTAGTAAGACCAGAGGCAAAGCCCAAGCCACCTCCTCCATTCTTTCTTGATCCAGTTGCAAGTTACTATCTGTGTTCTTGTGCCTGGACACTTTTAGAAATAAACTTGAAGGGCTGGGATGGGGACATTTGGATCCTGCTTAGGAGGGAGTATAACAAGGCATTTAGAGTCAAAGACCAGGTTAAAATGTGAGCTCTTTTACTTAGCTGTGTGGTCTTGCACGAATTGCTTAGTGATTTGTAGCAACTCATTAAGTATTTAAGCCATTAATTCATGAGACTTAGTTTTCTCATCCTTAAAATGAGGGTAAGAAGAAAATCTACTACACAGGGCTACTGTAGTCAAGAAGTGAGATAATATAGATGAATCTGTTAGCATGGCACCTTATAAAAACTTAATAAAATAGAATAGCTGTTGTGGGCACCCAGGTCTTCTGGAAGGCCCAGTGCTTCTGTTGGTTAATGGGAAGTACACTGAAAAAATGCTTTCCTTTGTTCAAACTCCAAGAGAAAGACTCCCTGCTCTCTGATATCTCTATGTAGGGACTCTTCTCAGCCATGGGGTTGGTATTGATTCACGTCAGGAAATTAGGGAAAAGAAAAAAAAACAGATGAATATCCAGAATACGCAAAGAACTCTTACAGCCAGATAAAAGGTTTGAGGATGATTGATAGACATTTCTTCAAAGAAGATATATGAATGATCAATAGACATCTGATAAGATACTCAGTATTATTAGACATTAAGAAAATAAAAATGGACAGGCACCAGTGTCACATGCTTGTTATTCTAGCTACTCAGGAGGCAGAGCTCTGAGGATTGCAATTCAAAGCCAGCCAAGGCAGGAAAGTCCATGAGACTCTCTATCTCCAACTAACCACCAAAAAAGTTGGAAGTAGAGTTGTAGCTACAGTGGTAGAGTGCTAGCCTTGAGGGGAAAAAATCTAAGGGACAGTGCCAAGGCTCCAAGTTCAAGTCCCAGGACCACAACACACACACACACACACACACACACACACACACACACACACACACATGCACGCGTACACACAAAAATACATGTACATGAATGGGCACAGCATGGTCATAGTAGCAAAGAACTGGAAACAAGCCAGGTGCTGTTGGCTCATGCCTGTATACCTGAAGATCATGTTTCCAAGTCAGCCTGGGTAGCAAACTCCCTGAGACTCTTATCTCCAAAAATTTACTCAGACAAGATTGGGCGCATTCATTGGCCGTAGACAACTCAGAAAAAGCCAGAAGGGGCACTGGGGCTCAAGTAGTAGAGTGCTTGCCTTGAGCAAAAGAAACTCAGGTCAGGGACAGCTCCCAGGACCAAAGTTGAAACCCCAGGACTGGAAAAAAGAAAAAGTGGAAACAATCAAATTAGCTGCCAGCTGATGAATGCATACATAAAATGTAATATTCACTTGAAAAGTGTGACATTTATGGTATGTGAATTGTAACTAAATTTAAAATCCCATCAGGCTGTCACTTGAAGACCAGGTAGGCAGGTAAGACTTCTCCCTGGGAAACCCCTAAACTCTATCGTCTATAGCCACACCTAAGGAAAGCTATAAAAAATACTAATTCCTCACTTCTGAGTTGGTTCTTTGAAAAGTCTAATAAAATATACAAATAGACAACATAAGAAAACAATGAAAGCCATGAATAAAATAACTGTTGGAGCTGTACTGATATATTGAAGAGACAATAAAATGAATTATAAATAACTTTATACTGCATATAGAATTTAGATGAAATGAGTAAAGTTTTAGGATGATATGACTCAAGCTAAAACCAATGAAAAATTAATAGAAAGTCAGAGTGATTATATAGTTCAAAGATATAGAATAAATAGGTTAAAATTCACCCCCACAGAAAAGTGCCAGTCTCACATAGCTCTACAAGTGAATTCTAGCAATCCAGGGGGAAATAATTTGAAATCTACTTAAGCTCTTCAAAACCCCAGAAGAAAAGGTTAATTCATTTTATGAGGCAAGCATAACCTTATACCCAAATAAAATAGTTATAGATGGGGCTGGGAAGGTAGCTCAGTGGTAGAGCGCCTGCCTTGCATGCCTGAGGCCCTGGGTTCGATACCTCAGCACCACATAAGCAAAAAAGAAAAAAGCTGGAAGTGGCGCGGTGGCTCAAGTGGTAGAGCACTAGCCTTGAGCTGAAGAGCTGAGGGACAGCGCCCAGGCCCACAGTTCGGGCCCCACGACCGGACCCAAAAAAAAAAATAGTTATAGAGAAATTATAGGTAGTTTCACTCATGAATATGGATGTAGAAATCCCACATTAAATATTAGCAAGCCAAATTCAGTAATGTGTAAAAAAGATTGTTAAAAACCCAAATAATAAAATTAAAAAAATTTTGTATATCACCTTTATAATAACAATTAAAAATGCAGACATTAAGAAGATGTCACGTTTTTCTATTTTTGAGTCTGTGACTCAAAACTCAGAATTAACTTTTTTTTTTTTTTTTGGGTCCGGTCATGGGGCCTGAACCCTGGGCCTGGGCACTGTCCCTCAGCTCTTCAGCTCAAGGCTAGCGCTCTACCACTTGAGCCACCGCGCCACTTCCAGCTTTTTTCTTTTTGCTTATGTGGTGCTGAGGACTTGAACCCAGGGCCTCATGCATGCAAGGCAAGCGCTCTACCACTGAGCCACCTTCCCAGCCTCCAGAATTAACTTTTTTAAAAAGGAACTGAAAATACAACCATGAACATTGGCAAATGCATAAAGACCTTACAGGACAAGAAAAAAGGACACAAATAGACAGTAAAAAATACCAAATTGAAACTGTTAAAGGAATTCAAGGTTAATCTAATATTTGAAAAATCTATTGATATAGTTCAACTTTTTTTAGTTCAACTTACTAATAGAGCAAGGGATCCAAGCTATGACCATTTCAAAAAATTTTTGGAAGAAGTTAAAAATTATCTATAATTATATAAAAAGATCAAAATTATTCTTTGAAAACAAAGAACAAAAGGGAAATTTCTTTTTCTTTTTCTTTTAAAGGTGATATACAGAAGGGTTACCGTTACCTAAGTCAGGCAATGAGTACATTTCTTTTTGAAGAGTGTCATGCCCTCCCTCTTTTTCGCCCAGTTTTTTTCCCTCCCTTTCCTCTCCCCATCAAGTTTTATAGTTCATTTCTAACATAGTATCTAATGAGAATCACCACCGAATTAGTTCACCCTTTATCCCCCCATTTCTCTATTTCCCGTTCCCCTCCTAAAAGAGAAATTCCTTAATCACCAAGTGAGTATCCTTAAGAAGCCTACAGATACTTTTTCAAAAAAAATATGCATGAACACACACACACACACACACACACACACTTTTTTTGTTGGTCATGGGGTCTGAACTCTGGGCCTGGATGCTGTCCCTCAGCTCTTCAGCTCAAGGCTAGCGCTCTACCACTTGAGCCACAGCACCACTTCCAGCTTTTTCTGCTTATGTGATGCTGAAGAATCGAACCCAAGGCTTCATGCATGTAAGTCAAGCACTCTACCACTGAGCCACCTTCCCAGCCTTGAACATATATTTTTCAATATGAATATGAAATATCCTATTCAATGACATGATGTATAAAACCTTCTCTTTAAAATTAGGAGGCAAACAAGAATACCTGTCATCACTGTTCGATAAAGCACAGCACTGGACAATAAAAGGAATCAATATTAAAAGGAAATAAAACCATCATTTACAGGAAAAATAGATGAAAGTGGAGATCATGATGCTAAGAGAAGTAAGCCAGTCCCATGGAGAGAAGGATTGCATGTTTTCTCTATTATGTAGGATATGGGGGTGGGGGCAGGGGAAAGGCAAGGACAGAATGGTAAAAGAAAGGCTATTAGGGATGTAAAAAGAGTAAGGGAAAAGTCAGAGGGTGGATAAAAATATAATAGAGGGATGGATATAATCAAAGTAAATTATATGCACATATGAAAATGTTATAATGAAATTTCCCTTTGTAAAATTAACATTAAGAAAAACTCATTTGGTAAAAAAGCAAAACAAGGGCTGGGAAGGTGGCTCAGTGGTACAGCGCTTGCCTTGCATGCATGAGGCCCTGGATTCAATTCCTCAGCACCACATAAGCAAAAAGAAAAAAGCCGGAAGTGGCACTGTGGCTCAAGTGGTAGAGCGCTAGCCTTGAGCTGAAGAGCTGAGGGACAGCGCCCAGGCCCAGACTTCAGGTCCACGATTTGACCCAAAAAACAAAACAAAACAAAACAAAAAAAACCTATGTGCTTAAAAGCTCTGCAATGCCCAAGTCAAAAAAGAGAGTACTCTACAAAAACCAGAGACTAATTTCTCTTACAAATATGGCTGCAGAAATTCTTTTTTGTTTTTTTTTTCAGGTAAGGGGTAGGTTTATTCAGTAGACCTGCTGGGACCAGGCAAGGTTGGCACTCCACGCGGCTGGCAAAAGGCCTGGGAAAGAGAGTGTTAGGTTTTTAAAAAGAGGTAGCCGAGTAAGAACAGCACCACGCACGATGGCCCTCCATGCGGCTGGGAGAGGCCTGGGAAAGAGCTGAGAAAGAGCTAGAAAAGAGAAGAGAGAGCTGGGAAAGAGAAGAGAAGGAAAGCGCTGAGAAAGAGCTAGAAAAGAGCAGAGAGTGGCTGCAGAAATTCGATTTGTTCATCTAATCAGGCTGCAAACATGTGAATAAGTAGAGTTTGTTTCAATAATGTAAGGCTGGAACAATCATCATCAGGAAATTTGTCAACATTTGACATAATTTATAATAATAAGGAGTTGGTCAACAAAAATGCTCAACAATAATAAGGGGTTGGTCCACAACAACAACAAAAACCCTGGAATAGAAGAATCCCTTCATATGAATAGAAGCAGAAATGCTTTTGATAACATTTCCAAAGCAGCTGTGACTAATATAGTTCTATGCCAAACAAGAACAAGAAGCAACTGCCTGAACACTGTTTATCAAA